ACATCAAGAAAGGAAAATGAAATCTTATTTCCCATGGAAGAGTTTCCATTTCTCTGATAGCCACTTAGTAATTTGTGATCAAATCTGTGTACATTTTTGTTTACCTTGAAGAGCATTTTTTGAAGATAGAAATCTTACCTATTCAATTACATATTCATCAAATCTGCAATGCCTGTTCATGTTCTTTTTGCATTGCTGAATTTTCACTGACCCTGAATAAAGTATACCATGGGTTCAGATGGGTTCAGTCACAGAAAGTTCTTGATTTATATGTGTCTTAATACTCTTAAATGCAGAAAATGCCCAGGAAAAGTATTCCAATGAATACTGTTATCCCTGACAAGACTTTCAGACTTACAGCAATTCACCTTGTACAAATAAGGCTGGCAAGAGATCTTTGTTACAACAGGCTGTCCTCTAGACTGTGAAAAAGCAAATGACGCTGATTTGTCAGTGGCAACAAATCCTTGAAAGAATTTTCATTAAAGATTCAAGTTGGCTTTATGAACCTTGATTCATGCTTTGATTGCTATAGTAATTTTATATACAATTTTGGCATGAGTAACAAACCTGGAATTTCAGTCGAAATTACACTCATAAAATGCAAGTATTTACTTTTCTTTCCCTGTACCTGCTGCCTCATAAACTGGACTAGCTTGACCTGAAGTGTATTTAATATTTAAAGGTTTTAATTCATAGAGAGGCTCATGTAATAGAAGGTCTTGTCCCAGCCAATTTCCGACCTGACAAACCCCATCTACAGAAGTTCAGACTCGCTGCACTTTAAAACAACTTTGCCTTCATTAGCAAAGGAACCCAGAATAAGAAAATGTCATCTCCATACCTCACCCTTGAGAAGCTGTTTTCACAGTTCCTTTTTCCAGACTTGCCTGACACTTACTTCCATCTTCTTCTGATTCACTTCCCAGGAAATTAGCAACTTATTTTCCTTTCTCAAAATGAAACCACCTTCCAGGTAGTCCATCATCTCTAAAGTTTTCAAACAGCTATAATGTCCTATTAATTCAGGGTTTAGGGAAACCAGTACCTAATATTTCAGTTATATCTCAGTGCATGTTTTTAATTCCACTCTTGGAAATGAGACACCAGTGTTGGTTAGTGGATAGAACTTTGAACTGAGGCTTCTATTCACACCTCTGCTATTTCTGGTCTTAAATCCCTGGCAAGGAGCTCAAGTGACAGCTCTTCTCCAGGCTGTAAAGTTAGTTATTGGGTGGCCCAAGAGAAGGTGACTTTCTCTCCTTTTCCCACTGTTGTATTTATTTACCATAGGTATGTTATATTAAAAAAATGCTATTAAATTCCTTTGAAAAGTTTTTTGAGATCTAAGAATGAAAACCCAGAGACATTGCTGTTGTGAAATAGGCTGTTCTTCTGATCCCATCAGACAGTTCTCCTACCTGTTTCAAGAAGAAAGTCTAGCAAAAATAAACCTGGGCATTTGCATAATTGGTATTCACCTTGAAGAGAATCAGTGTGAATGTTTATAAAAAATGAATTAACTCTGTGAGACAATGCTATTTGTTTCAGAGAGAGGCCCTTGAAGTATTAAAATAGGAGATGATTTGCCCAGCCTGTGCTGCTGAGCGCGCTGCTGTGACGTGTCTGCTGCATTCCATCAGTTCTCTGAACTAACTGCACGGCCCTGGGAGTGCCTGTCGTCAGAGAGAATAGAAAACAAGCAAACACAACCAGTTTTCCTGCTGCCCATACTCAAGTGAACAGTATGCTCTTTGAAGGGTGATAAGCAGAGGCAGCCACCAGCCCAACTGGTACAGAAAACCTGGCATAGTTTCCTCTTCTCTCTACGGATGCAAACTGCCAGCTCTAGATATTTGACCTGAATAATAATGCTTAGTGTAATAATTCAAAGTCAATGGGAATAGAGAAGAGACACAGACACTGCAATATAGCACAATAATGCAGGGAAACAGGCACAAGTTCCAAAACTTGATGTAGCTACCAACTCTGCAGTCAGAGTGGAAAGACTCCTCCATTAACATGACCCAAGGCAACCATGAAACAGTGCAGAAACACGCAGATCTCTCACCACCTTACATGGCTGTAGCATCAGACTAAGTCCCCCCTTAAAAGTTTCTTCACACAAACAAAGTCAGCTTAAGTATCAGTACAAGTGTATCTATATAATTAATACAGATTACCGGGTTCAGTTGCTTGATCTGTCACACTGGATGCCTTCTGCATGCTGCTGTTTCACCTTTTACTTTTAGTCTGTGCTACACACCTATCATGCATTTACTTATTTATTTTTATCAGATGATTTGCAACCTTAATGCTGGTCTTTTTACATTTTTTTGAACATATATGTAACTACAAGTGTAGAGTGGAATACATTCTTTCTTGTCATTCTTTGAAACTGCTTTCACTATTTTAGTTCCTGTAAAACTGTGAAATTTTCTCCCAGATCTTCAAATGGAAATCATGGAATTTGTTTTTATATCTAATCTTCCTTTCCTCTTTTGTAAAATGACCTCTAACCACAAGCACTAAAAAACAAAAAATAACCAACTGAGAGAGGAAGATCTAAATTGCATTCCTGAGACTGAGTCACAACAGCTCAAGTTTACGTGACACATACTGCATTAGATTTGCAATGAATTTCACTGATTAAATTAAAAATAAAAAAAAGTGTTCATTGTTTTGCAAAATAACAAACTTCCTGCTGATGCTTTATCCTGGAGATGCTTCCAAGTTATTCAACTAAGGCTTTATCCAAGGTCTGCTGCAAGCCCCCTAGATTCACACCCAGGGCTTTTATGCAAGTTTTAATTTTAACCCATGAAGAACTTCCACTGCAAGCAGTGTCTAGACAAGGTATGAAACTATGCTTAGTTTACACGAACTTTCTCAGCTGCATAACAGGCTGGATACTGTTCTTGTTCTGGGAGTTGTCATGAGCCCCTTGGCCATAGAAGCATCACCCTGCACCACTAGTCTGGAATCTGGGAAGCAGCGCCCACCACAAGTCCTGTCACCTTTGCCAACAGATACTGCCTGAAACTATTAATATAAACAAGCACATTCATTAGAAATAGTATGTGCCTTTCTATCTTCTGTATCAACTGCTTCGTGAACTCTTTGCAACACCGTCCCTCCAAAGCAGTTCTCGTCAGAGAGTGTTTGAGGAGGACTTGCACAGACGCAATTCCTCTGAAGTTGGCTAAATTAACTGTTTTTATATTTCTGATTAATCAGAGTTAACTTGCACTTTTTACTTATGGTCACCTAACAATATCATAAGTTATATTTTGTAGAAGAAGCTGTGGAAACTTACTGCCTGAGCTATACCAGTCAAGCTGCAAAAAGCATTGGAGGATGTGCCTATGGTAAACCTGGCAAACAAATTATGCAGATGACCCATGAGATCTGCCTACATGTTTTTGTGAAATGGAAAACACCATCCTAAGTGCATAAAATTAAGCAAAAAGCCATTTTCAACAAGCAAGACTTTAGTCAATTATTCTAATGAGTACCTGACATACTGATGCTAATTAAATGGTGAATGATTATACACCTTTTAGGTGTCAAGACAGCGACTTACTGTTGAATTTAATGAACAAAGCTGGAGTCACACATCTACTGTTTATGTCATGCTAAATTAGCTGCTTGTTAATTGGATTAAACTACTTCAAATTTACAAAATGTTTGACCAATACTGTTATGCAATGCCAAATTGAGGTGACATTTTCCTACTGTCCAAGAATTACAGGAGGAAGATAAGTCAGTTTCTTGTCCAAGAAGAGTTCTTGGGACTGTGTGTTGTTTCAAAATAAATCAGGGAACCTCACCTAACCTCTAATTAGCAATCAATCAGTACAGCTGCACAGAGAATGAACCAGACAGAACAGTCCCAGATGTTGGCTTTTCTCTTAGAGTGCCTCTTCTGTTTGTTATTTGTGTTTGGGCAACTCACACACAAATTACATACCTAAAAGTATTTGCACATAAATTCATCACAGTCTTAAAGAGAACAGCAACAAGCTACATTCAACATTTCATTTTAAGAGTGTGGACAACACCTTGAAGAACTCATTTCTTAAATATTATGCTACTGTTTATATTAGGGTAGTGACTAAAACCTCCTAGAAGAGAGAAGTTTCATGCATAGTAACCATACAAACGTTAAACAGAAAGCAGCATATAACTCTAAAGAGTAAAAAGTAAGGCAATAGATAAATAGCATATCTATAATAATGGCATGACAGCAGCAAATTAGTTGCAGAAGTGAAATACATACACATGCTCTCTCTTCCCAGTTAGTAGACCCTGTATCTATGAGTACACCTGAACTCCCTTTGGGAGCCTTTATGCAACCCCACACACAACAGGACTCTGCACCTTTTCTCTTTCCAAACAACCCAAAGCATAACCCTAACTGGAACACTAAGCCTAACCCTAATTAGGGCCCTAAAAACACATATGGCACCTGTGGCGTAACGACCTCATGGACAGCAGGGTTCTATTAGGATCAGTAACTGCTACTACTTTATTTATTATCACTTTAAGTTGTTACGCAACTCAGCCTTCAGGCCCTACCTATCTTATTCCTCCCAGATAGGAGGGAAACAGATCCGTTCCTTTTCAGGGCCTCTAGGGCCTGGATCAAAAGGCACGTTCAATTCACCGGGGGCACAACAGCCAAGGCCTGTGATGGCAGTACTGGTGGGGGACAGCAATGGCATAGCTGGCAGATCGGTGGACGAGCCCACAGCTCTCTCACTATCCGGCAAACCACACATTTCTGATTGTGGTCCTACATGGCTCTGTAAGGCCTCAGAGACTGCTCGCCAGGTGCTGAGCAATCCCACTGCAACCTTGTCTGCTTAGTAGCAGAGTCCCAAAGCTTCACCTCAGTTTGGTCCCATGTTTCAGGATCATAAACTGTCTGATTCATAATAACAGGAATAAACTGGAAGGTTACCAGGACATATGATTACCCATAGCGTGCAACTGCTTACCTTCAGCCTGTGAGGGGCAGTTGCGTGTGCAGGTCTGCTTCCCTCAGCTTCAGCTTCCTTCCAGCTCAGGTGCACTTCCCTTCAGCAACTTGAAGTATGAGTTTCTGTGAGGAGTTTGCTGAGTTTGGCTGAACCTATCTTCATGAGGCGATCAGCGTTTCTGCTCCTGTCCTGGTCCCTGTTCTGCTAGCCTGTCCCTGTTATTCAGGTCCCTGTTCAGACGCCATTTGTGGTGTGATGTTCTTCAGGTCCCTGTTCGGGCGCCATTTGTAGCATGATGACCACATGGACACCAAGGTTCTTTCAGGACCAGTAACTGCTACTACTTTATCGATGACATAATTTCAGCTCCCTCACATTGAGGGCATAACTTCAGCTCTCCTTTTACTGAAGATTCACTCTACAGCAGTACTTTTCCACTAACTATTCCCTGGTTAACAACTTTGCCCAGCAAGAGCAAACACCCAGCAACTTCCATGTCTTAATAGCTGGAGAAAAGCAGTCTGAGACCCCGAGGTGTCTCCTGAATCACCCTTCTTATTTCTTTTAAACTCTTTACATTCCTTTGCCATTGAACCTGAAGAACGGCACTGGCACCACGACATAAACCAGCCCAGACACAACAAAGGCTGGAAAGTGGAAAAAGCCATCAGAGCAGTGAGCGAAGGTGCATGGCTGGGGTCACGAGGATTAGCCCTCACAGTCTCATGAGGCCCTTTCTAGGCTGGTCTTCCTGTTTTAATCTGTTATTTCACAGTTTTCTGCCCTTTTCTTTTAGTTAAACGTAGAGCATTATCACCCTTTAATGCAGCTGCCTTGTGCTACTGTTGCCAGTCCGAGGATGGAGCCAGACTCCTCTCAGTGGGGTCTGCTAGAAAGGTAATAGGCACAAAGTGAAGTACAGAAAACCCATATTTAAGGGGAGAAAAAAAAAGAGAGAGAGATAGAGAGAATTATACCAAAAGAAATGCTTACCTCTGCGTGTAAGAGAGCTATCAAGCAGTGGAACAAGTTGCCCACAGAGGCTATGGCATCTCTATCCTTGGAGATGCTGAAAACCCAGTGGGAGACAGCCCTACACAAGCTTTAAGCAGGGGGATTGAACTGGGGATGAACCTGAACCTTTTTTTTTTTATTATTTTTTTTTTTTCAGCAGAACCACCTGTTTCTTGTTTCCCTCCCAGGTGTGAGCCACTCTTCACTTGGCTGCATCTCAGCAACACCCCAGTCTCCTATTTGCAGGAGAGGAAAACCCAAACCATCCCATCCCCACATCCCTGCTGACTGCTTCCCTTTCAGAACCGGAGCAACTGGCCCTAAAGTACAGATACTGCATTAATGCCAGTGTCTGCAATTGCAAACGTAGATCTCTGCAGCCCTCTAGCGCTCTTTAAACAGAAAAGAGCTTGCAACAGCCATGGGGAAAAAGGGAAGGATGGCTCAGGTTGTCCTTTAATTTCCTACCCTAGAGCTGCCACAGGCAGGTGCAAGCCCTGGCAGGGGGCTCAGCCCCAGAGGCTGGAGTTTATCATCATGCAGGTCAGAGGTTTGGGTTGGGGGCTCTCAAAGCCCCTTGTCCCCAGCAGACAGGGAGTTTAGCAGCTGCCAGCCTGGGCTGCATTTCTTTCCCCGCCTCTGCTGCTGGCTAACCTGAGCGAAGTGTTTTTCTGTGCCTCCTTTCACCGCTGCCATCATCCTAATTGTGCTGACATCCCTCGTCCCGCAGTGCAGCTGAGAGGCGATGCTGATCTCCTGGTGACTTCGGCAGTTTAGCTGGAGCATTTTCCCCAGGAGTCCACCGCATTTACGTTATTTATTTTCCAGGAGAAGACAATGCAACTATTTAAACATTGTTCTTCCGTGCAACACTAATTTAAAATAGAGGCTTTTATTTGCTAACAGGACAGAGTACCAGCTGGTATTTACCTAAACAGCTTTAATGTTTAGACAGGCTCCTGTTCCACAGCCTGCATTCCCTCCTGAGAAGCAGTACAGAAAGTGTGCTGGCCAAGCAAAGGGTAGGTTTGGTTTTGCAGCCCCAACATCTGGTTTGGAAACGATTTAATAGCTTCATCCCATGCTCTAGGTGGGCAGGGGGAGATACTGAGTACCAGGTCCTCCCCCATTGATATCCCTCCTTGCCTTCTCCCAGCTCCTTAGACCCTTTTCCATGCTTCAGCCTCCCTTTCTTAAAGCATATGCTGTTGTTCCACATGTCCTACAAAAGTGAGGATATAAACCAATATTTAGGAGGCCCCTTAAAGAGCAGCTTAGGAAAATGATCCAAATTATTGGTCTCCTATCTAACAGCCTTTGCCTATTTGTATTCGGATGATGCTATGTTACCTCCATGATAAAAATACACATGGAGCTGAGTTGGAAAACTTTCCGCATCTGTTTCACTCCTGTCAGAAATACTCCTCCAATGTTCCTTACAGAAAAAGAAAAAAGTGAGAGAGAGAAACACAACCCTTCTGCCAAATAACAGATACAGAAAATTAGAAGTTAATTAAATGAAATACAGTTGCTTTCCAGGCTCTGATAAAATCCTGAAAATCTTTTTTTTTTTTTTTTTTTTTTTTTTTTTACAGTTGGATTTCTCCCACAAATCTCCACTTCAACAAAAGAAGTAGTCTGCATGTAAAATACTTTGAATGATTAATTTTCTGGAGCTCCAGAGACAGATGCACTGATACCCAGCTCCATTGAAACAGGTCAGCTGTGCCTTATAGCTGTAGGATTAAGCTTTTCCACGTCTCCATGCTGAGGTCCAGGTCCTCCCACACAGTGCAGGCAGCATGGGCTCTTTGTGATTTTTTCACTTTTTCCAATCAAACAGAATAGCATTTCTTTTAAAATGAACCACATGTACTTTGGCTTCATGCTTTTGCCATTAAGGATCTGAGAAGCCGCAGCGCTAAGTTTTATCCCTGGCGAAGTTCAGAGGCTCTGCATTTGCCTACGCCCCAGGATGCTCCACCTGCCAACACTTGTTTTGGGACCCTTGTGTTGGTGGAACAAGCAGAAAGGGCCCATAAAACATCATCAGCCCTCTTAAGGTGACAGTGATGGTGTGGTAAGGGCCCAGCCTTTGCAAGGAGTTGGGGACAAAAGGGAAAAACAAGGTAAAAAGCAGCTACTGGGGATACACCCACCAAAATTTAGGATTTGGCCCATGAATTGAGAGTGCTTTGGGCTTCAAGTAGATGTTGTAAATCCTCCTTGTTAGGAGAGGGATCTCAGCTGCTCTCCTTACTTTGCCACCTATCCAGGCTGAAGCTGTCTAAAGAAATGACCTGAATAACCTTGTCATTTCAATTTTTCACACATTTTCTCTGCTGTGTGTTCTCAAGATCTGGGAAGTTTAATTTTCCCAGCACAATTGCCGGAGGCTGCTCATCCCTATCAGGGCTCACTCCACCACATCAAAGGGAACGGGACACATCAGAGGGGAGCAGAAGGGCTGCAGTCCCATAGCAGGGTGCCGAGGGGATGCTGCAGGCTCTGAAGCATCCCCCAGTTTCTATAAGCAGGTTTGGATTAGCAACGTGCGCTGCTGACACCGTTACAATCGCCCACGCCGAAACAACTGAAATGCTGTCGTGCCTCCTGGGGTGCATCTGAGCAACAGCGGGTTCCCAGAGAATCACAGCAAGACCTTTGTCAAGGTGGTATAGGATGATGATGCTTTCCAAAATCACTCTTCTGAAGAGCAACAGGAAGACAGGTACGTGGTGACAGCCTTCGCATTATCATCATCTCACAGAAAATGGATGGACAGTCATCGGGAATGTTAAAAGGCTCCATTTTCCTAACACCTGGTGTGTTTATCCCTGTGCTAGCCTAAACACTAGATGCAAACCCTGGCACTGCACATGAGCTTTCACCTAGCTCCAACTCCGGCCAAAGCCACCACCGGTGACCGAACCTAACAGAGGAAGGAGCACCCAGCACCAGGCTGGTCCCACGAGAGGAGCGGCGCTCACGTGAAGCCATCTCAAGATAAAGCAAATTAAGACACTCAAAAGGGAGCTTTGTCAGAAACCAGGAGATTCGAGCCACCTAATGAAAGAGTGCTGGATGCCTCGGCCAAATTTACATTCCTTTGTTTATCCCAGCTGTGTCTTTCCAGAGCCTAATGCAGTCAGCAGCAGCATTTCCCTTTGGTTGAAAACAGGAGGGGGGCTTGCTTTGAAGACTTCGCTTGCATAGGAAATGAACTTCTTGATTCCTGTTGACATTTGCAGCAAGGTGTAGGTGGTGCTTGTAGCATTTTTTCAAAGCTCCCCAGCTCTGTTTGTTCAGATACTTCACACTCCTGTGAAATGTGATAATACTAAGCAGTGGGTGGAAGGAACAGCACAAACGTATCCCTTCAGGAGACAGGAGGTTTCAAAACTGCTCTGCATGTGAAGACAACTCCCTCTGCTACCAGCTTCCATGCCACTGTCACCAAAGTCTCCACATACCTGGAGCTTTTAACCGTGGAAGTGGCAAGGAGCAGCAAGATGCACCATCACCGTTTTGTTCCAGCTCTGCAGCAGCCAAAGCAACTCTTGTGCTGGTTTGTTCCTCTGAATTCCTGATACATAAAAAAAAAAGCAAGAGCCATCCTTTTCCTTCCCAGTTTCCTGGTGTGAGGGGGTTGTCTCTGAGGGTCATGCAGTGATGTTTTCACCTCCCAGGCTGAAAAACTGTGATGATAAAGCCCGCACTGTTAGGAGCGGTACAGCTTTCATTGAACTTACGAGTCAGCCAACTGCCCCTTGCTTTCAGGATTAGATATTAACAAGGTGCTCATGTTCCCAGCTCTATTTTTACATACACTTTATTCAAGTTCCAGCTCCTGGAGTCAAAAACTGGAGGTTTTGGCTGGCCTCATCTCCCATGTTTCTAAGCAGGGAAGGACCTCAGGGACAGCACAGTGCTGGACGAAGGCTGCCTCTTTGTTAAAGGTCAGTCCCTGGCCTCAGCCCTGGTTTCTAAGCATTAGGGGTACTCAGACCTAGGTCTTAAAATAAATATTCTGGGCCCTGAAGCTTGCAGTGACCTTGAGCAGGCACTCGCACCCTGCAGGATCTGGCCCGTGGTGTTAAGCTGGCTGCAGAACCAGGCAGCTGAAGAGCAGCTGATTTGTAGTTTGGGCTTTGCAAGCATCAGAAAATGTAGTCATGGGTCTTTGATATTTAATGCTGGCCACTCTGAGTCAAATCTTGTTTCTCTGCATGCTCTACATTCAACCCCTTTTTGTTCTTTTTGCTGTAAACCATCCTGCAGATACCTTCATTTCCTTAAGCAGAGCAGGCTCTGGCTGCCCTAGGGCTACATTTGGGTCCTGCTCAGAGACCCCCCAGCAGCTAGGTGGAAGGAAGGGGCTGGGTTTTGCTTTCTACCTCACAGAGATCAAGAATCAGCCTTAACTCCTCCTGAGCAGAGCCTGCCTGCCCCACAGCTGAGAGCACACTGACATCTAATGGCATTTACCATTATTGCAAAACATTTTGAGGGAAGAAACAGCAGCCCCAACCCCTTCCTTCTCATCTAACAACGCTGCCACAGCAGTGAAACGGGAGGATTTATCTCTAGGGAAGTTGCTGTCCTGATGCCTTCTTTTAGATTAATGAATTTCCTAAAGCATTTCAGGAGCCTACCTTATAAAGCAGTGAGGTTTAAGGCCCCAAACCCCAAAAGGCTGTAGTTATCTAAAGTCAGCCAAGATCCTTTTTGCATCCTAGCGGACCTCAAGCCACAACCCCCACTCTCATACCTCCTCTGGGGGAATAAAGAGGGAAAGAAATAAAAGGTTTGTGTGCGTTCCCTGAGGACATTTTGGACTCGCCCCTGCTGGAAGGTGTGGAGGAAGTGACACACCTGGCTGTGTAAGCAAACCTGATGCCTGTCATCCTCCCAAGCCTTAGGATGGCTCATCGGCCTGGCAGCATCCCTTGAAGGCACCCCTGGCACCTGGCACCCAGCCCCAGGGAGCAGCAAGAGCAGGGTGCTCCCCTGGGAGAGGAACCAGGGTGACCCCAGCCCTGCAGGTGAGGCCCTAAGCAGAGCAGCGTCGTGCAGCAGGGTTGGGAACGGCAGCAGGATCATAGGATGTGTAGGACAGGATGCCTGTAGTTCAGCAAACGCAGAATTTAAAATACAGATTTTATAAAATCTCTGCTGCTGGTCCCAGCATTTGCAGAGCGGCGCCTTGCAGCGTGTCAGGCTGGTGCTCAGCTCGTTGCTGTGCTCTCTGCAAGCTGTTTTTTTGTTCTGGGCTTCTGAATACGGCTCCAGCTTTTCTTTGGTTGTAGCAAGAATTTAATTTGGATGTGGCAAGGGAGGATAATCAAATGTTTCTCCGGCTGTATGCGTTTTGCTTTTACTTTGGCTGAAGTTTATTACTTGTCAGCGGAGCTGGCGTTTGTTGCCGTGTTTGCAACCTGGGGTTGTGTGTACAGATCTAATAAGGGAGAAATGATTTCATTGTTCAGGTAGAACAAAAGCTCTGAGCCCCTTTGAGGGATGAAAATTCCGGGTTAAGCTTTGCTGGGTTCTGTAAAAAAAATCCTTCCTGGTGATCGCAAGGGCTGCACGGACGCTTCCAGTGCTGAGCCACAGCACCTGGCTGCCAGAATCCTGCAAGAGAAGAGGGAGAAACCCGAGTGGTGTCACTTTGGGGAGTGTGTGAGCCCCTTGAAATCTTCACGCCAAGCGTGGCTGGGTTTCCCTCTTCAGCTCCTGGCAGCTAGAGAGAGCAGCCTGCATGTTTTAGCAGGTAAATCCCCTTCCCACCTCCTCCAGCATCCAAACCTGCAAATGCGCGTCTGAAGCCTGAGCTTCGTTTTATCGCCTCCCCTATTTCTTTTCTTTCTTTTTTTTTTTTTTTTTTTTTTTTTTTTTTTTAGGCTTATTATTCCATGTCATTATGAGTGCTGTAAGTAGCTCTTTGTGTCACGGTAGCCACATTCCTTGCCCACAGCGTGCCTTGCCTGCTCTGTTGAAGCAGGATATTCCCCGGCTGATTAACAAGAAGAGAATTTCGTGCCATGCCCTGCTCTCCCAGGTGCCGTCGGGCGGCGAGAAAGGTTTGTGTGCTGTTGTGGCTTGTGTTTGGGGTAGCTGGGACAGCGGACTTTGCCCTTCCTGGAGCTGGTGACGTGTGGGAGCGGGTTGCATTGCAGAGAGCAAACCGTGTGAACCCCGGGAGGAATTTCCTAAGGGCGCTGTCACACGCAGAGCTCCCTTATTTTTGTCCTGCCTCCTCATTAGAAAGCCACCAGGGAGTGGCAGAGGGATGGGGAAACCCTTTTCTGCTGTGCCTTGTGAGGAAAAAGCAGGAAAGCTGCATGTGTGAACTGCTCCGTCCTGATGGGGATGAGTGTCTGAAGGAAAACAGACCAAAAGCTTATCGTTACCTCTGGATTGTTGGGGCTTATTAGTGATTGATTACGCATTTAATGATAAGAAGTGTGCACCCGGATCTGGGGGACTGATTTGTAAGAACAGCAGAAAGCTGTTAAAGAAGAAAAGCTGCGATGGTTATCGGGGAAATTTGTGTAGGGTGAAAGTTAATCCTTCCAAAGCTGTGATGGAAAATACTCTGCGGTGCTTTTGTGCCAGGTGAAGGCGCCCCTAGTCTGCTGTGGGTATTTCTACCTGTGATAAGTGAATTCAGTGGTTTACCCCTTTTTGCCCTCTGTATCTGAAGAACTACAACAATCTGACCCATTCTCCTCCCAAAATCAATGTATAATATCTGAAAATCCACCAAACAAGAGAATGCATGAGTTATTTGCAGCAGGATGAGTTAAACGCACCAAAGTGGCATTTAAAAGATGCCAGTCAAGCTCGTGGTTGCGGAGACAGCCGTGGGCCATCCCACTAAACTTGGGGTGGCACGACAGAGGTCGGGGCTGCCCTTGTCTCTGCCGACCCCACCGAGTCCCCCAAAGGGACAAGGGACAAGGCTCCTGGGGACAGGGAGCGCTGGCAGCAGCCACCAGCAGATTTCCAGGGGCAGGAATTGCTTAACAGCAGCCGTGCTGCGCAGGCAAATTTCTCAATCTAATCTAAGCTGGAAATACTACAGTCTTGTGGACTCTTGCCAGCTCCTCTGAACTTTAAAGCAAGTTTGAGGAACAAAGCAAAAAATAATAATAATAATAAAATAATATATATATATGGTATTGCATTATTCATGCATGGAAACAATTCCTGCCAAGTGCTCTCCACGGGCCTCTCGTATCTCCGAGCCCTCTTATATCCCCAGCAATTTATAAGGTATTACCAGAGTGTAGGGGGACAGATTCCCGCATTGTTTTAAAACAGGGCACAGATGAATCACTTGTCTGTATGCTGTAAGTAATTATTCCATTTGCACACAGTGGATGTTTCTCGACAAAAGGACCACATCTTTTTTTTTTTTTTTTTTTTTTTTTTTTTTGTGGAGCTGCTTTTAATTCGACAAAGAGTCTTGGCCAAAGAGGAGAAAACACTCATAAATGTCAAATCATCGCAATCTGACAATCAAAAATATGCATTTTGGAAGTGTTCCAGCATTTCAGGCTGGGATTTAGGAGGGGAGCATTTTGTTTCCAAGCAGTTTTTCCCTTGGAAACAGCCCCGGAGGAAAACTGGGGAAGTTGAGCAAGGAATTCAACCTGAGCCTGGCATCCAGTGTGAGCACCAGCTCCGGGCTGGCCTGCAGCTCTGTGCTTGGGGTGGGTTTGTTTTTCTTTCTCTACAGCCCCCAAAGATGCCTGTTTTGTTTCAGCCTGAACTAAAAAGCTTCATCTTTTTTTGTAGCTCTTTTTGCAGTTCAGCTGTTGAACCATGCCTGTGAGGTTGTGCTTAAGGAAGGTGAGGATTTCTTCTCCGAAGTGCAAGATGGACATTGGAGATGGACTTGTTCCCGGTATCGCTTCTTCAGAGGTCTAGAAGAAAACTCAATTTATTCCTGGATTTAAGCAAGAGGCAGAAGCTGACCCTGCAGTTTGTGCTGTGCTGCTGCTCACTCCTCCAGCGTCCCCCAAAGCTGCCCAATGGCAGCACCCCAGGAGCTAGGGTTTGACTGCCCCACTGGACAAGTGCTGAGAGGTGAGGTGGGATGCAGGGGACGGGTGGTTTGGTTGGGCTCGGTGGCAGGAGGGTCCCCAGGTGACAGCAGGGGGACACGCTGCAGCTCCCTGGCTGCTGGTGCTCGTGGGCCAGCGGTGGCACCGCTCCGTGCCTCAGTTTCCCTGCCTGTGTCAAAGGAGCTCGGTTCTGGCCCTTCGCAGGGGAAAACATCCTTGGTTCGTGGTGGATGAGGTGTGACTGCTGGGTGGGAAAAGCCCTGCGGTGCCAGGAGATGGCACCATCCTCCCAGCAACCCGCTGCATGCGCCCAGATCGAGGGGAGACCCCAGGCTGGGCCTGTCCTGGTCCTGTGCCCTGCGTGGCTCCTGGCCTAAAATAAAATAAAATAATAAAATATCTCAAAACCTCTCCCTCCTGCTAAACCTTATCCTGGGCTGGCATCCGAGGGACTTTGCAGGAGGCCAGAGCATTCAGGGTAGCTGGGGCGAGCAGGTCACCCCCGAGGCCACGCTTGGTTCCCTTTTCAGTGAAAAAGGACTAATAAAAGTGGAATCGAAGACCTTTGGGAAGTGGCCTTTTGTGCTCTGCCAGCCACCACGGCTCATCTGGCGGCAGTTTTCAGAGGAGCAGCCCCAGCTGGGGGAATCTGAGCAGCCTGCCAGGTCCTCTTCTGTCTTTTAATTTCTGGTTTTAGGGGCGTAACGGTGTTTGGTGGAGAAAATAGGAGAGAAATGAGAATTGTGCAAGGTAGAGCTGAGGGAGGTGATCTCTGTGGCTCAGCCCGGATCCCCCTGGGGCCCATGGGAAGGAATTGGGTGCTGTTTGCTGTCCCCCAGTCCCTGTCCCACCTGCCCTGGCATTTCAGCATCACTTCAATGTCGGCAATGAGGTATGGCACAAGCAGCCCACGTAGCAGCGAGCCCAGCAGGCAAATCCCCATCCCAAGAGCATTTGTGGGATGCGATGCATGGCCCTTATCTAAAACATTCCCAATGATCCGTGTCTCACTCCAAATGACCCGTGCTTTTTAATGGGACATCATTTCTAGACACTTCATTAGTGGCACAACATTGGATTGAGGCAAACCTTCCACTGACCAAGGGAGCCTGTGGTCAAGGAGGGTTTTTTTTCCTCCTCTCTCTTGTCCCCCAGCTCCCTGTAGTGCCCTTCCCGATGGGATCAGAGCATCCCACAGCTCTCACATCTGCAAAAACGAGAGGAGAGCCGGGGAGAAGCCGGGTGCTCACGGCATTCCCTGCCCCACAGGAGGAGCTTGGCCCGGGGCCGCCCGCGCTCGGTGTCTCCCCGAGCGAGCCTGCAGAGATTTTTCCGCCGGGCTCCCGCGAGCCCTCCTGGCAGGCTGCCGAGCAGCACACAGAGCCGTTCAAAGACTTTTCTTGTTCTGTTCCCTGGCTCCTGGAGAGCCCCGAAGAAGGGCTCCTTTCACGGCCCTTGCATTTCCTAGACAGAAATTGTCATTTTTCAAACACAGCTTCCCTTCTCCTGGCCCGGAGCCTTTCACCTCCCAGCTCCCTGACGTCAGGCCGCCTTTGTGATGCTCTGTGCGGCGTTTTGTGCTCCGGTTCTTTTTCAGCCCGTTTAAATGCCTGGCCCTGCCGAGGGCCGGGCAGCCAGCGAGGGGCAGCCGGTGCTGCCAGGCCCCCGCGCGCTGCCACCGTGCCCGCCGAATCCGTGCCTCCATCCGAGCGGGGCTGGGTGGCACAGATCTCTGCAGCAAGCTTTTTGTTGTGCTTGGCAGATGAAAAGGATTCATTTTTAGGGGGGTTTCTCATGCTGTCTGGCCTTTCGAGGCCGTCTGCAAGGGAGTTTTGCAGGGCATGGAGGCGAGATGTGGTGGCCGGCTGCGTGTGCCAGGGCTTGGGATCAGAACTGGGGGCGCTCGGCTCTGCTGCTGGGGCTGCACCTGCTGCTTGCTGCCCCGTGAGGACAGAGGGAGGGCTCCCAGCACCTTTACGGAGTGGAAACCAAGCCAAGCAGCCATCGCATGACTTCTGGCGGGCACAGCAGGCACTGGTGTGGGTGTTTTCTTGGAGCAGCTCTTGTGAAACCAACCGCGCTGGGGCAGAAGCCGTCACCCAGCTGGGGCGCGACATCACACGCCAGGAAACCATTGCAGCTTCGCCCCGAAATAGCAACGATCCCCAGAAAGCTCATTCCCTTCTCCCTGCTTGAATTCCCCTTCTTGCGCCAGCGCTGTCACTCCCCGGGGCACGTCCTCAGCTGCTGGGCTGCGACAGAGCCCAGGCCCTGACTCACGTCCCCAGGTGGTTGCATCACCCCGTGCCGTGGCACCGCTGCTGCAGCGGCTGCAGGCCGGGTTTGTGCGGCTCCGTGCGTGCGCACGCAGCCCCTGCCATCGGCTTCCCTGCTTTGCCAAGGCTGCTCCCTGCACTCGAAATTTTCCAGGCTTGGAGCCGGGCCAGCGGCGAATTTTTGTTTTGCAAGCGAGCAAAATCGGCTCAGTGTTGTCAAGCCCCGGCAGCCACGTGAGCCGAGCGCGGGGCTCCCCGGCTCTCCCAGCCGAAATGTTTGCCCGTCCTTCTGCTGCCGGCCGCTGCCTTGGCTCCGCACCGCAGGGCCATGCCCCAGGCAGCTCTGTCTGAGAGGCAAATGTTTTATTACAAGCTCCGTGTCCCTCGGTGAGATCTTGGCAGGAGGGCTCCAGACCCTGCACAGTTCTTAAAATGAGCCTCGGATGTCCCTCGGCCACAGGGACGGAGCTCCTTGTCCCGTTAGCACCCAGCCTTGCGTTGTCACCGGCCCAGCCTCCTGGTGTCACCTCCTGTGCTTGGCACAAGCCTCCCCGGTGGGTGGCACAGCCCCGTGGCTGCCTTCACAGCTCAGCCTTCCTGTCTGTAGGAGGCTCATTCCAGTCTCTTCCCACCCCCGAGCCAAGTTCAGGGCTTGTTCCAGTCGAGCAGGAGGCTACGGGGTGTAAAGGCAGCGTGCAAATATCTGTGCGCTGACATCGTGTTGGGCTTTGGTGCAGATCCAAGCCCTCTCTCACTCCTGATGCTTGTCTTGCTCAGGCAACGCAGGTGTTGGGTGCTGCGAGATCTCGGAGGATCTCCAAGGGCTGGGGAGCATCTGATCCCCTCCAGGGTCTCTCTCATCCCGGAGGAGTTATGGCAGCGGAGAACAACTGGACCTGTTCTACCTGTGTGCGAGTTCCCCGGGCAGGTAGGGCTGGCAGGAGGAATTCCTGCCGTTCCTGCCGGGCTGACTCACCCGTGTCTCCCCCGGCCGTCCCGGGAGCTGCGGGGCGCTGCCATCCCTTCGCCTTCATCTCCTCCTCAGAATTTGGGGGTGTGAGTCAGCCCCGTGGGCGGTGGGCTCACGGGGCCTCCCCCCGGGGCAGCTCCTCATTCGGGGAGGCAGAGGCACGTTCCCACGTCCAGCATCGTCCTTCTGCCCTGTCCACCCCTGATTTTTCTCCAGGAGGTGCACGGGGACGGGGACGGGGTCGCGCTGATGGTGGCCCCGCTGCTCTGGCGGGCGCTGACTCAGCGCTGCGAGCGGCGTTGGACGGGCACAGTGCGGGCGAGGGATAAACAAGCAGAACGAGGGCAAATGCATCAAGCTCAGGCATGTGCCGTGCATTGTGACCTGCCGCGGCGCCTGGCGTGGCGGAGGATTAATGGCCTGGAGACTGAAGGGCTCTGTTCAGCCGCAGGTCCTGCCTTCTGTGCTCCTTTTTCCCCCATGAATGCAGAGGTCGGTTTACCCTGGAAAGGGGAGAAAGGGCAGGGGAAGGCCTCCCTAGCCTGAATACCTTGCCTAAACATCTCGGATATTTCATCCCGCGGGTCCCACCTGCGCTGTGGGGGTATCCCAAGCCTCCTGGCACCTGCCCGCTGTGCTCAGCCAGCACTTTGGGAGCTGCTCCAGCAGCAAAGCCACCCCAAAACCTCCCGCTGCTGCTGCTCACAGGGTCCCACTGCAAAGCTGCCCACTGCAATGCTCCCCAAGCAGCCCGTCCGCCCCCCCGGAGGGTGAAAACCACCCCACAGCCTCGGGATTTTTAAGGGCACGGACCGACGTGCAGCCGGGAGCGGTGCACAAGTGCGAGCTGGGTTTCTCGCCACCGCAGCTGAATGCCCCTTGTGTCGTGCCACCGACCTGCGGGGGAAATGAGCTCGGCCACGGGTGACCGCAGCGGCTCGCAGCAAGCCCATAACCCCAGAGCAACCACAACACCTGGCGGGGGGACCCCACAGCCACCTCCTGCCCCGCTGAGCATCGTCCCTGCCGCCTTCCCCTCTTGCACCAAAAGGGAGTTTTTTTGCTTGCTTAACATCGCACCGGGCAGCCCCCATCCCAGCCCTGCTGCTGCTGGATGAAGATAAATATATGTAATATAGCCTCCTGCTAACAGCCCGTTGCACTATTGACACTAGCTTGAGAGGTGCCAGCCTGAAACCAGCTTCGTTAACGCAGCCAACAAAGCCCTTTTTAGTGGCGATGACAAGGGCCGGGCTTGAGCTGAGGAGCCCGTAGGTAAAAAATCCTTTATTTATACTAGGCTCGCTGCAAAGAATGTCCATAAACATAATTTGGGGAGCTAAAGAAAATGTCTGGTAAGGAACAAAACCCCAAGAAGTTATTTAGGAAAAAAAAAAAGGACTTGAATAAAATGTACATTCACAGGGGAAAATACCGGCTATGAAAGAGCCTTTTAAGCTGGCAGAAAAACAGAACCGGTCGCTGCAAGATAAAGCCAGGAAAAAAAAATGAAATAAGGCCCCCATTTTTAGCAGGCAGGCGGCTTACGCGCCAGAGGAAACGTCGGAGGGGCTGGGTGGATGCGCTCTGAGCCCAGCCCGAGCTCGTGGGAGCACGGACAGCCTGGCTCAGGGGCAAAATTTGGGGTGGTGGGGAAAGGGGTTGGGGGCTGAGCATCGCGGGGGCTTCGCCAAATTTTTGGGGGGAGCCTGCAGGAGGGGAACGTGAGCTCCCGAGCGGCCAACACCACACCAGTTAGCGCTGACCTTGGGCGAAATATTTAACTTATCCTGGGACCATACGTAAAGAAAATAAACAGGGGGACGCCTGAGCCTCCGCTGGCTGCTGCCACCTGATTGATTTCTCCCTTCAAAGCAGAAGCCAAAAACATCCCGGCGGCTACAATTTGGGTTTGTGCAAGAAATCGGGGAAGGGGGCGGAGAGTGCGAGAGGCGATGTTTTCGCTGTGCCTAATTTTCACGTCCACAATCCAAGATAAATACGCGGCCAGAGTCTTTTATGCTGGACACAAACACACAGCCCCCTTGTTACATGCTGCTGCGGGGCAGGATATAGATGGACTATTTTTTTTTTTTTTTTTTCCTTTTTTCCCCCGCCACGTCAGAATATTTTTAAGCTCAGATTAAAGGCATCTCTGTGGCGGGGATGGACAAGGAGCTCGTCCTGCCGAGAGGTTCCTCCGAACCGTGACACTCGCCTTTATGCCCCGAGCCAGAAAATTCCCCTTCTATCACAGGGGCTTAAGTGAGGTTTGAGTGCTCCTTGTGGCTTCTGCACCATCCAGGCGTGGGGCTCGTTTTGCTGTGGGTAATTGCTTGAAGTAGCGGCTCCGTTTGTGCTCTGCCAGGCCCTTGCTTTGGTTTTCTCACTCGGCAGCCTCTGAGAGCAGAGTGGTCTGAGCCATCACCCTCCAGCCTCAATAACTGCTCGCGAGGGAGCCGAGTTGCTGGAAGGCAAAGGAAAAGTTAAAAAATAAATAAATAATAAAACTATCACATTCTCCCAATTTTGTGAAAAATGAGATTATCTTTTTTTTTTATAGTTTCCTTTTTTAGGGTTTTGCCCTAAATTGATTGATTCGTTAGGGCAGAGTGCTGGATTTGGGTTGCTGGCTTCCAGTCTCCACCGCGGCTTTGAGCGACGCAGAATCTGCCCCTCGGTTCCACCTAACTTGGAGCCCATAAACAACCCATTTAATCTCAAAACCCAGAATAAGCCACTGACAAAGAGCAATTCGAAAAGAAGAAGAAGAAAAAAAAAAAAAAAACACCCAGCCTCCCAGCACTGGCTGCACCTTGCCAGCATCTGGGAGAAACAATTAAATAATTGTTTTTGCGGTTTTATAACAGTGGGAAGAGCATGAAAATCTCC